GGGGGGGCAGAGCGCTCCAGGCCAGCAGCGATGCCACGCGGTGGCTGTGTCCGTCGTGCCGGCAGGACCCGCACTGGGGTCTCTGGAAAGCCCCAGCCTTGGGGTGTGCTCATGGGGGTCCCTTTGCTGCGCGTGTCGTCCTCTCCCTTGCTGCCTGCGTCCTGGCGGGGAGGTGCCGTGGGCTGGCAGGTGGCTCTGAACCCCGGCTCTGCGAACAGCAGCAAATGGCTTCAGCCCTCGTCTTTGTTTCAGAAGCAAATTACGCTCTGGAGGCAGAAGACTGCGGGGTTTTAGTGGTGAGCTCCTCAGTGCTCAGTTTTAGTCCTGGTCAGAGGCGTTTTGGTAGCCCAAGCGCCTGTGACACCTGTGATGTATTTGCCTTGGCAGGAGCCTTGTGGGGCAGGGCTGTGCGGTGCAGCTCACGCTGGAGAGGGTGAACTGAGGCCTGGAGCACTCCCATAAAGGGGTCCTGGTTAGAGCAGAGAGTTTAACGAAGGCTCCGGAGGCCTTGGCCAGTCCTGAACAGCTCCCCTTTCATAGGCAGGGAGAGCAGCAGCAAAGCTCTTTGACTTCTTGTCCATGGAGTCATATAACTTCTCTCTCTACAGATTTTTTTGGAGTTACGAGAAGTTGTAACAAACCACTGACAGCCTCCCAGAATGGCAGACCAGAAGCGCCTTGCCTACTCCATCATCCAGTTTCTGCATGACCAGCTGCAGAATGGGGGTCTGTCTCCAGATGCTCAGGAGAGTCTGGAAGGTAGGCGGTTGTGGGCGCTGCCCTGCTCACGCGTCCATGTCTGTCAGCCCAAGACCTGGGGAGATTTGCATGCTGTTACTCTCTCCTGCCTCTACCTTGGCTGGGCTCTTCCTAACATCAAACCTTGCTCAAGATTTGAAATGAATTTATCGTTTTGGGGAAGTATCCAGAGCATTAGGGATGTTGATTGCTTATCTGACTTCTTGTTAACTCTTTCAAAAGCAGATTAGCTTGAGGAGGGGATATACCTGGGATCAAAAGCCTCTCTGACCCTGGGTTTGAGACTTACAAGTTTTATCTTAAATGAGGTAGAGTCAGGAGGCTTGTAGTGTAAGATGAGAACTTTGTTGTGTGGAAGTGTTTTATGCCTGCAGAGTGTTTTTCCCGTTCTGCTAGCAAAATGCTTTTCCACAGCGTGCCCTGGAGTATTTGTACAGCTTTTTCAGAGGGCTTCACTGGTAATGAGAGCACACTGATCTTAAAAGATCTGCTTAAGGAGCTTATGCTTTAGCCTTTGGCTTGTGCGTTTGTCCCACTGAAAGAGAGCAGGGGCACGTCTGCAGAGAGGGCAGGAGGAGGCTGTGGGGTGGAAGGATGGGTTTATTCCTGGTGCTTTTGGACTGTAAAATATGGCATGAGAATTCTGTAGAACTGAGCTCTGTGTTGCTGGGGTTCCTCGCTGTGCTGGGAAGGAGCTTTGTGACCAGGTGCCTGGCGAGGGAGGGGGTGGTGGCTTGGTGTTTGTGCACCTCGGTGTGGCCGCAGCGCTTCGCGGAGCAGCCGTGCTCTGGCAAGTGACCGCTTTCTGCAGCGTGCCGTGCCACCTGCAGCTGTGGGAAGGCTGGTAGAGCCCCATTTTGGTTCACTTCTACCCCCAGCACCTGCTCTGGAGTCATCCGAGGGGATGGGAGTTGTGACTGACTCAGTCTAGGAGCTGGATCTCCAGTGCTAAGGTTCACCCAGCTCTCAGGTTTTGGCAAAATTTGAGGATATGGCCCAAATATCAAGTCTGGTTGTGTGGATTTGTGTGATTTTGGGTGTTTTTTTTTTCCTGGTGTGTTCAACAGTAAGAAGTCCAGGCGCTATGGGAGGAGGCTAAGTATTTAGATGGAGTGAGGAAAGCTAATTACCTGATGCTTCTTGTCCAGTGGCCATCCAGTGCCTGGAGACAGCGTTTGGGGTCTCGATGGAAGACCAAGGCCTAGCCGTGTCCCAGACTCTTCCTGAAATATTTGAAGCTGCTGCAGGAAAGGTGAGCAAGTGCCCTAAAAATCTCTGCTGAGTTTCCATTAAGCAGCCAAAGCAATGAGCTCTGCTTGCTTTCCGTGGCAATGCGGCCCCCTCCGAGGTGTGTGGGAGGGAAGTGGTTTGGGCTTGATGAGCCAGCACTTGGGAAGGGGGAGGTGTAGGATGTCTCGGTGGGAGTCCTTATCGCAGCGTTCTCCTTTCAGGAGCCTGAACACATCAGAACAAATTCGGAGCCCGTCACCCCCTCTGAAGATGACATAGCGGAAGCTGAAAGACTCAAGACTGAAGGTAACCTCCTCTGGAGCTGGTGTGTAATGAGGTTTGGATGAGAACAGGAGGGAGGCTCAATCTGCTCAGCACCTGGGGAATGCATGAAATGAAGAAAGCAAATGGGATCAACCCTTCTGTCTCTGCTTGTTTCTCTGCTTGTGCTCCAGGAGTGTGTGTAGGTTGGCATAATTTAGCTGCCACTGAGCCTAGGCAGACAGCTGGGGCAGCATTTTCGCTTGCATCCCGAGAAGCCTGTGCTGTGTAGAGCAGGGCAGAGTTCCCGTTGAGCTCTCCTCTGCATGTCGCCTTTTCTCTGCCATCCAAGAGAGTCTGATTAGTGCTGGAGAACGACGGGGAGCTTTCTCTGAGCCAACGCACCGTAGTGCTTTTCAGGACGTGGTGCTGCTCTGGGGAGGCCTCAGGCGTGCCCGAGGTGGGAGGGCAGCTGAGGGGACTTGCAGGGTCAGGCAGCCTGGAGCTGCCAGGATCAGGTCCCCTGCCTCGCTGCTGAAGGTGCCTCCTGTTGCAAGCAGTTTGACTCGCCAGCAAAAGCTGCAAGCGGTTGGCTTCTCCCTTGTTCTAGTTTCTTAGTAGATCATAGATCCAGGCCTGTTGCTTTTGTTTGTCCCCATTTTTCACTTGTGAGTGAGCCTTTCTGCAATCCCTTTAGGAAATGAACAAATGAAGGCAGAAAACTTTGAAGCTGCTGTGTCTTTCTATGGAAAAGCAATTGAATTAAATCCATCCAACGCTGTGTACTTCTGCAACAGGTACTGATTATCTTTTTTTCTACCCTTGCACGCCCGTGTTTTTGTTCTTACTACTTCTATCCGAGACTCTTGAATGGTCAAAGTCCCTCTTTACAATTCTGCAGAGTGCCTGTTCTGTTGTGTGCTCTTTGTGTGGGTTTTTTTAAGCTCAGTGACACACTTTCCTGTGCCTCCTGCCAGCTCTGTGCCCTGGCTTCTCTAGATAGGATGTGGGTGTGGAAACAAACTCTGTTAGGCATTTGAGGAGATAGAAGGATGCCAAGAAATGCTGTCTGCTTTCAGGCAATTAACTCTAAGTGGGATAGAGAGCCCAGGCTTGAGAGGCTGTGCTGATAATGAAAACAAAGGAGTGAAATGAGACAAGTTGAAGGCTCATTATGGAGAATTGCATAAGTTGATGCATGTGCAAAATTGGGTATGCAAGCGAATTTCCTATTTCTCAGTTCTGAGCAGAACTGTTTAGAAGTTGGTGGGAGGAGAATTGTTGAGTAAAATGTACTTTGAATCAGGATTTTAGTTATCTGCCTGTTGTGAGTGTGTGCGTACGGCGGGCTGTGTGACTAGCGTGTCTGTGCCCAGGGTGAGGGCGAGGAACCCCAGCTGGTGCTTCTAGCTCAGCTTTGCGGTAGCTGCAGGAGGGTCAGTCCCGCGAGGTTTTGCCCCTCTAAGAGTTGTGAGATGGAGCCTGAATGAGCATGTTACGGCTTCAAAACCAGTTTTCCCTCTGATGTGGAGAGTGTGAGAGAGGATGAAACAGTTGTTATGACTAAGAAATAAAGGCCTAAGGGAAGCTGAGAGAGGTTGAGCTAGCGTGACACTTGTGTGCCTCCCCAGAGCCCAGGCTCCTCTTGGAAGGTCCATCAGAAGTCAGAGCCTAGATTTATTTGCAGTGGGAGTAAAATGTGGAGCTGGGTGTTTGGATAGCAGACTGCTCACCTAGGCACAGTGAAGTTCACACTTGGCTCTGCCTTGTGCAATAGGAGACTACAGTGAGGGAACAGGGGTGACCTTGATTGGCACATTCAAGCTGATAAGTGTTTTCTGCACCGCTGTCTCCCTTCCCTCCAGAGCGGCTGCATACAGTAAACTAGGAAATTACGCTGGAGCAGTGAGAGACTGCGAAAGAGCTATAGGCATTGATCCCAACTACAGCAAAGCTTACGGCAGAATGGGGTAAGTAAGAGCAGGGGGGTTGTGCTAGAATTTTAACCTCAAAATGCCTGTTGGCAGTGATAACCATCAGTGGTGTTCTGCCCTGGCGTGCCAGGTGAAAATAGCTAGTGTTTCCCCTCTGCTGGGGGTGGAGGAAGACTGCAAGTGCTTATCTAACTCCAGACTTTTTGTTTTATTTCCACTTTAATAGCTTGGCCCTCTCCAGTTTAAATAAACACACAGAAGCTGTTGTTTACTACAAAAAAGCCCTGGAGCTGGATCCAGACAACGACACCTACAAATCAAACCTTAAAATAGCTGAACAGAAAATGAAGGAGACTCCTAGTCCAGTAAGTTCTGAAACTAATGCTTGTTATATGTGGGGAGGACTTGAAGGAGGCCTCTTCACTGTGAGCGCCAACAGGCGCTGTCTGACAGAGCCTCGGTGACCTGGGTTGTGTTGAGAATACAAATCTTGTATGCAGACAGAGGGGAGAGAGTTAACGAGTCCTGCAGTGAGCATTTCCACTAAAATCCAGAGAGGATAACCTCACTGCTTGAGCAGTCGCCTTGGGCTTATTTGAAAGAGCTGGAAAACCAGACTGGTAAGAAAGGAGTCTTTTGAAACAGCAATTTTGCCTTAAGCACCTTTCTTAAAGTCACAATTCCTAAAATCCAGCTATCTTTTTTTTTTTTTATTTTTTTCCCTAGTGACCTCTTTTACCAATACCAAAAGGGTGATTTATGTGGCTTTCTTCTTAAATTTTTTTCTTAAGAAACCTGGAGGTTTCCTAGCCAGGACTGCACTGGTGACATACTCTGTGCAGGAACATGTTAGTTTACCATTTTGAAGGGGATTTTAATTTTCTAAGGACTTCTCCAGTGCAAAGGTGACCAGGTGAATGTGTGAATTTGGCAGCTGTCATGGGTTACAGCTGTGCATTGCTAATGTGGCTCCGCTGGTGAGAGGTGATCCGCAAGTCCCTGAGTGAGCCCAGTCCCGTGAGGGGGGTTGGAAGGAGCCTCTTCCCTTTGTCCGTGTTTAAGGGCCAGATTCTTTGATGTGATACTCACAGATAATGCTGGGAGTAAAGTATTAACGTTCGCTGTAATGTGCCTCAGGAAGTGAGAGGATGTCATCGCCTGTGTGTGGTTTCTTTCTTCTTGCAGACTGGAGGTCCAGGAGGATTTGATTTGGCTGGCTTGCTGAACAACCCCGGCTTCATGAGCATGGTAAATCTGGACACAGAAAACAGCCAGGCTGTACCTGGTCTGTGCATTGGTCTGTTCGGGAGGAAACGTAGCGGTGCCTGGCGAGGGGAGCTCCTGTGTCTCTTTAGCAGATTTGTTTTCATTTCATTTCTTGGTTTCAGTGTTGCTGAGGAGACTGTGCTTGTCTCTCATGAAAATCAAATTTTAGAGCCAGTGACTTATTCACAGGCTTCTCCTCGCAATGTGCTGGGTGTGGAAAGGGTGCCTGTTCTGCACTGCCAGCCTTGTCTTGTGTGGTGCACTGTGCTTCTCTTAGCTATTTTTGTCCTATTGATCTGTTTCCAAGTATTTCTGCCTTCACTTTGTTTGTCGTTGAATGGCACAACATCTGCAGATCTACCCAGTCATTTCTGACTAAATAGGGTGTCATTTTTTTTCTCCCCTCTTTAAATAGGCATCTAACCTAATGAACAATCCACAAGTACAACAGCTGTAAGTTTGATCCCATCTTGTATTTCCTCTTTGAATCGCTGGTTTGGGGCTCTGTGTGTGTTTGGCATTTGCAGTAGCTCTGAACTGGTGAGGGGCGGAGGGTGCTTGGATGGAGGGCAGGCTTTAAACCAGGCCAGCTGCCTGAGCTCGTGTGTGTTTGGAGTGCTCTGAACTGTGCTGAAGAGGATCTTAGTAAGAATGTTTGCAGAAGGGAGGCAGGATAGATCGTGGCAATGGAATTGGGTTTGGGAAGTTTGCGGTCAGCTTGGCTCTGCCACACAGTGTTCTGGAGATGAGATTTCACAGCTCCATCTGGGTTAGGAGGAGAATATTTCCATTCTCTGTGCTACAGGGTTGTGAGGATCAATTCACAATGTTTGTGAGATGCTTAGATAACAAAGTCATAACATTAACAAGGCACGTACCTCTCCTGCCCGTCGTGTCAGAGCACAGACGGGCAGTGAGCTGGAGACTTGGAGCTGATCCTTTGATTACCAGACGAGGCAGCTCGGCTGAAGGGCTGAACGTCAGCCACTGTTTCTGTTTGCTTCTGCCTGCTCCTCCTGCTGCTGTTGCCAGCTGAGTTTCTGTGCCAGAGGCAGCCTGAGCCCTGCCAGAGGAAGGGGCTGCGTGTTCTGGGCTGGTCACCACGAGTGAATCGGTGTTTAGGCTGTCCTGTCCGTAGATCTTGTTTGATGCAGAGCAAGCAAATAGCCTGTGTGAGAAAGGGCAGTGTTTTAATTAAACATAGCATGGGGCTTGCACAGACAAGGGACGATCTCTGGGAATACAGCAACTAACACTGATAAATATTTCTACATATTGTGCAGCTCAATGTTACGGTTACTCTTCTGCAGTTAAAAAACAAAAAGTTCTTGCAGAAGATTCCCTTGCAGATAACTTCATAATCTGTGTGGGCAGGTGCTCCCATTATGCTGATGTTCACTTCCTAGTGTAAACCAAACAATTTCTGTGTGTGTTTCTCCTGCTCTGAGCAGTAACTCTTGTTTCCACAGCATGTCTGGGATGATTTCTGGTGGCCACAACACCATGGGAGCAACAGGCACCAGCCCCTCCACGAATGATCTCGCCAGCCTCATACAAGCGTGAGTAGGGAGCTGCGTCTTGCCCGTTGCTTTGGCCAGTAAATGGATTTTAGGGTTTGCTGACCAGAAGTGGAACCTTAATTTAGCAGTTGAGGAAGGCTGAAATGTTGGGTGAAGTACTGTCTCTCTTGGTGATTGTCCAACTCTAACAAGTAGTTCCAATCAGCTGTGAAGGATTTCCTGGCACCAGTCCTGTTGGGGTGTGTGAGAGCACTGGTGGGACCATTGCTTGTTCTCCTGCAGGGGCCAGCAGTTTGCTCAGCAGATGCAGCAGCAGAATCCTGAGCTAATAGAGCAGCTACGAAGCCAGATCAGGAGTCGGACTCCAAGTGCCAGTAATGAAGATCAGCAGGCATGAGCACCTCCAGGTGAGGCCGTAGCTGGGAGTGCTGCTGTGCTGTGGCCAGCTGAGTGGGAATTCACGTTATTTGGCTGCAGTGTCTGGCTTGTGCCTGCATTTAGCAGTTTGCTGTGTCGCCTCTCCGTGCAGACTGGGTTCTCTGCATCGGTGCTGCGGTGCTGTGCCTCAGGTGCAAGGCTCAGCCCCGAGGAGTGGTGGATAAGAATTTCCCTCACACATTGTGTGGCTGCCAAACGAGTTTCATTGTCGAGCGTTCACGGTGGTTACAGGGACGCTTTGTTTCCTCAAAGACTGAATTTGCAAATGTCTTGTCTTCCTGTCTCTGCAGCACAGTCCGTGGGAACTTTGTTCTTTGCTTTAAAAACTGGAAGCCATGTGCGTGTTGCCATTTCTTGAATTGGAAGTGTCCAAGAGGGGGAAAAAATTAATGGAAAAACAAAATACTTTCTATGACCTGCATGTTAAAGACAGATCCACACTTTAAAAATCCCTGCTCCTCCCCCTCAGCCTTTCCATTAGTCTTTTTTTCTTCTGGAAGACCCAGCAAGCTGAGCACAAACCAGCACCAACAGTCTTTCTAAAGAAACTTGGAAAATTAACTACACTGTTACATTTCTATGTTATTTGCTACATGGGAATTTTTTAACCCGTTTTTGAAGAATGATGCACTCATCACTACAGGACGTCTTCACTTCCCTGCCCACGTGCCACTTCAAAGAAGTGTTCCGGTCCCACCTAGCCCCTGCCCCGTTTAACCTTCCTGCCAGTCACGAGACGGTCGCGTTTGAACGCCCTGGAGGTCGCGGGATCTTCTTGCCTCCAGGAACAGGGTTTCTGTTGCTTAGACTCGCGGCGTTTCTCGTTCAGGTCTGTAGCAGCGTTGCCAGCGTTGTTAATACACGGGAGTTTGGCGGTCGCCTCATGAAGGTTAGTGTGAGTGTGCTGGGGGTGGGACCGGGCGGGTGGAGCGTGCCCGTGTGCGCCGGCTCCTCTGGCGAGCGTTCCTGGTGCGCTGCTTGGGGGTCTGTCCCAGTCCTGAGTCTGTCTAGTGTTTAGTAATTATGGCTATGTTGTTGGAATGACCCAGTCTGTGAACTAGTCAGGTGGACAGTAAGAAAGATACGATGTTTTTGGTGTTTAAAAGGGTTTTTTTTTCTTCTGCTTTTTTAACCTTTTATGCATGTAAATAATCAACCTGGTTGAATGTGCTAATGGTAGGAGTAGAGGGTGCCTGAGTAGAGAGCAGGAGGAATAAAAACACTGCTTGAGTAGTAAGATACCAGGTGGCTGCTGGCTCAATGTGGGGATCGGCGAGGAGCGATTATGCCTCAGCATTGAGTGTGTGAGATGAGGGGAAAATCTCCTGCAGCCAACTGGAGTGACCCGCAGCTTCCACCCCTCGAGCTGCCCACGCCCTTCCCTGGGCGAACAGAGAGCTCTGGCCAGTTCCCTGACAAGTCACTGGTCAAGGCCAGAGACTTCTGTGTCCACCTCAGGATTGTTTTTCAAAGTCGTTCCTGAGTTGTGGTGGGAAGGCGTGTTCGTGGCCACACTGCGGGGCGAAAAGCGTCTGGTCTGGGGGCCCGGGGTGTGAGTGAGCAGGTGTGTCTGAAGATTAACAGCAACAGGAAAACTGATTTGTACATGCTCCATAAATAATACGTGGTTAATGTAACTTGTGAAGAATAAAATATTTGGACACTTTCTTTGTTATCCCTCTTGCCTGGCTGACTGGAGCAAGGCGCGGGCCTGGGGCTGGCCCGGGCGTGCGTTGGGCTGCGGGCTCAGGGCTCCGCACCCTCGGGGAGGCACAGCCTCCT